TGCATGTATGCCTATTGTTTAACCCCGTTCTGGTTCGATGTGGTTACTTGTAATCAGGGGGGCCTGCACGCCCCGATTGTACATAAGCTTTGGTTAGAAATAAACTCTCTCTGAGGACTGGGCTGCTGAGATCATGGCCATCCCGGAGGTGAGCAATTGCATGTTTTATCTTGTCTGATGTCTCTTTAATTTTACCCAATTACACAACCACCCTCTGGACCCTTTTGATTGTGGGGGCTGTTACCCCACAATTACCTATGTTCTATTATCATTTAATTTGTGAGAGGGCTTGATTAAAATGCTTTTTAAGTTTTATTTAAAACTTCTTCCTAAGTAATTGAAGTAGTTAAAGTTACTTTGTAAGGCAGCAGTGACTCTATGACAGGCCGAGCCTCTTAAAATAGGCCTAAGTTCCATTTTTCCAGCTTTAAGTTTTGTTTCTCTAACAGCCTTGAGTTTTGTTTCTCTAACAAAGTCACCCTCTCCCCCGAAATGACGCTGACCACACCTGGAAAGGTCCGAGCGATCACAATAACGCTGACCGCACCTGGAAAGTTCTGAGTGACCACAATTGGAACGTCCTGAAAGTGGAGCCAGTCAACCAAAAAGACCTGCACAACCAATTGTCTCCGGATGAAGTCATTGAACTATGGGAGGGTGAGTGGGAATAGTTTGACCCAGCTTATGTAACCTGTAAAATGTATAAAAACTTGGCTTGTGCCCCAGGCCGGGGTCCTCGTCTCGGAGGAGGCCACTGCGTTGGTGCTGTGGGACTTGGACCCTAGCTCGAGCTAGGCAATAAACTCCTTTGTTGTTTGCAACCTCGGTGACTCTGCCTCTCTGTTCCTGGGGCCAAGGGAAAGCCGGCAGTAACAACGTCTTTAGTTTCTTTTAGGAGATCTTTTCCTCCTGTGCAATCTCCTCTTCTGGCTTAGGCACACTTTTTGCTACTTTTCATCAAGATCACTTCAATGTGATCAGGGGACCTCATGTATGGGTTAACTGGCCATGAGCACTAAGTCTTCCAGCGACGCATCATAGGGCTTTATCTGCATGTGCTCAATGACCTGTAAGTTCAGCATTCCCTTCTGCATTAAGCATGCACAGCAAAAAAATCAACACTCTTTTTTGGACCACAGAGCATATGTCTAACCCCACTATTTGGCCTGGGCACATCCCAGCTCCACTACTGTAATCTTGGACTATCACACAATGCTTCTGCAAAGTGACATCTTTCAAATACTTGATGGCTTTCTGGATATGCATACCCTTGATGGCCTGGGCATTTCATGAATAGTCTTAAAATGAACCCAAAGATTTGAAGCTCTTGACTTTCATGACTATAAGAGTTTCCTGGGTCGAGTAGTGAAACATTTTGGCAGATCACCTCAGGCCACCACAGGAAGAGTGACACAGTTTTTAATGGCTGATCATTGTTGAGGTTTAATGTGATTTTGAGTTTTTTAAGTGTCAAATTTTATTTTTTTTATTGTACTTTGAGTAATGACGAATTGACACTAACTTCTACACTAAAAGATTGTTCTGAGGGGCCATCAAATCAGCTCCAACTCTTAACAACACTATGTACAGCAGAATGAAATAGTCCTGCCTTATCCTCACAATTGTTAGGCTTGAGTCCACTGTTACACCTACAGTGTCAATCCATCTCATTGAAGGTCTTGCTCTTTGTCTTTGGCCCTCTACTTGACCAAGCATGATATCCCTCTCCAGGGACTGCTCTCTCCTGATAACACACCCAAAGTATGTAAGATAAAATCCCATCATCCTCACTTCTAAGGGGCATTCTGGTTGTACTTCTACCTAGGAGCTGTTCTTCTGGCACTCACAGTATTTTCAATACTCTTTAGTAACACTATTCACATTCAGTTCTTCTCTGCTCTTCCTTATTCATACAGGTTTCACATGCATATGAGTTGACTGAAAAAATCATGGTTTTGTGTTTTTGTTCTCATTAATGAAAGAATGGAAAACAAAATATGGTAGCTACATTTTGCCAGGCCCACCTGAGTCCTCAAAGAGACATCTGTGCTCTGTAAAACTTTAAAAAGGTGTTTTCCAACAGAAATTTGCCCAATGTAATCTATCGTACGATTTGTCTATTGCTGTTCCTTGAATGTTTATTGTACTTCCAAAAACAATGAAATTCTGGACATACTAAGTGGCAAGACACTTTCATTCTCACCATTTTCAAACAAAGACTCCTAAAACATCACCTTATTATCAATAAGGTGAGTTTCAAGAGGTTGAAATTGTTACATATTTATCTACCATAACATTTTGCTTTTAGCTATTACTCAATAGGTGTTTGGTGAATAGACAAACCCAATATACAAAATAATCTCTCCCAATTCATCTATATCTTTCTCACAGTTGGGACATCAGATTGCCTTACTAGAAAAATATTAAATCACTAATGCTAAGTGTACCCTAAATTTCAAAACTGTATCTTTTTAAATATATTTTGTGATTTCATAATAAAGGTATGAGATGGTTTCAAAAAGTTGGTAGAAAATTCCATCATAGCTCCTTTCAAGCTTAGTGTACATACAAGTAGAACATGTGCATTAAGCTGGGAACAAGCTGAATGTTCTTCAACAAACTGTGGTATTATGTACAGTAGAATATTGCTTCGCTAAATGGAATAAAGAAATGAAGTCTTAAACCATACTATGACATAAATGAATCTGGAAAGCCTTGTGCACAGTGAAATAAGTCAGTCACAAAAAAAGACTAATATGATAAGAACTCAATTATATGAAATAAGAATAGGCAGTTTATTACTGGTTACAGAAAAAGAAAAGAGAGTCATTGTAAAACAGTGAGTCCTCGTTTATTGGGATAGGAAAGTTGCCAATGATCATGGGTGATGCCTTACAACCTGATTAATATAATTGATATCATTAACCATCAGAAAAATATTTAGTTGTTAAATATGTGTTATATATGAAGAGCTTAAAAAAAATCACGGGAACATAGGATTAAGACTCACAGTGGACTTTTTCCCTCTTCATTTGTAGTATGTGGTAGTATAGATCAAGACTTCATTTCTCGAGTTGATACCAAGGGCTCAAGTAGAAAGAAAATGTTTTGAAATTGATGATGGCAACATAGGTAAAAATGTGCTTGACACAATGGATGGATAGATGGATTGTTATAAGAGCTATAAGAGCTCCCAATAAAATGATTTTAAAAAAGAAAAAACAAAGATTTCATTTCTTTATAGACAAGCAGTATTTCATTGTAGTATGTCCACATTTTAATCCATTCATTCTTTGATGAACATTTGGTTTGATGACAGCTTAGTGTACAAGTTCTGTGTGCACTGCTGCTTCCAAGCATCTTGGGCAAATACCGTTATACTCATGTATAAGCCAAGTTTTTCAGCATATTTTTAACGCAGTTTTTGTGCAAAATTTGGTGCCTCGGCTAATAGTTAGGTCGGCTTATACTCGAGTATATATGGTAACTAGGAGTGGAATTGCTGGAATATGCTGGTTCTATGTTTAATTTTTGAGGAACCACTAAGCTGTTTTGCACAGTTGCTGTACCAGTTTACACTCCCATTGGCCATGGATATGATTTCTAATTTCTCCAGGTTTACTAAAATTTGTTGTATACCATGTTCAATTTCTAACTTAGTCACTATAGGAATGAAGTGGTATTTCATTGAGGTTTTGATTTGCATTTGTCAAGCAATCTATTTAAAGCTAAATGGGGAGAAAAAACATCTTACCAAATATAAGGAGGGATTCAAAGAATTTGTTTTAAAAAAAGAATAAAAATCATGGAATTTTCCTTTGAAATTTCTGGAGCCTCTTTCCTCAGGTGTAACCCACAAAATTAAGAAGCACGAACATAATATTTTTCTTTAGTCTTAATAGATGAATATGCATACTGCTTTAGACTACTAAATTAATACAAGGATTTAAACATATATTAGAAAGATACAGTTCTAAGAATGTGCATCAGATACTAGAACTATCCAGACCTCAGTGCAATGACCTAAAAAATGCTATGTAAATACACCAAATACTACTGAAATGTATAGCTAAGATAGAAAATAGTCATGCTACAAATGAAGCAAAACTAATCACTAAACACATGGCCTGAAGCTGTAATGAAAAAGTATGAAAGGGGGGTCTGCATTCTTAAGCCTTTGTTTTTATCATCCACACAAAGAAAGGGCACAATGGACCTAGAAATACCAGAACCTGGAACCTTAGAAGAGCCATGAAAATAAAAACTGAAAAAAACTTGATTTCATAGTTAAAGTATTCAAAGAATTACATTTGCCTTTGACTTGAGCTATAAAGTAGGAGATGAAAAATACTTCATAATTATTTTTCAAATAAGGGCCAATCCCAAAATCATTCTGAAGGTTGTTTGGATCTGAATTGGAATTTATACTACATTGGTGAAACAGAAATCTCCAAGTCAAGAATTTAACTTAAGCTTTGACTTTAGGCTTGTTATATTCCTACAGTACATGACAAAAGCATTTATAAAAGAAACTATGGAAGGAAAAAAAATCAAATGAAAGCCATTCATATTAACAGTCAATGTAAGAGCTGTCTTTTCATTAGGACTTTCCACAACTTTATACTGCTTCTTCCCTTAACTCTCCAGAATGAATGAACTTATACTTGTGATTATTTGTAAAACCTATGCCACAGATCTGAAATAGTGTTTCTCCATATAACCAGTAGGTGGCATAGTAGTCAGATGTTGGGCTGCTAACCAGAAAATCAATAGTTCAAAGCCACCAGGCTGTCCTCAAGAAAAAGATGAGGCTCTCTATTCCTGGAAGGATTGAGTCTTGGAAACTCACAGGGGTAGTTCTACTCTGTCCTCTAGGGTCACTAGGAGTTGAAATCAACTTGATGGCATAGAGTTTAGAGTTTTTTGGCTTTGAAATCGCATATAAAGATAATGTGACTCCTTTTTTGATTCCCCCCAAAAAACTTTAACAAATTACTTACTTCAAATCCTGTAGAAGGTCTTTTGCATTAAGCATAGTTATTAAAGAGGTGGTAGCTGCTGGAATTATGATAATTGGTGTTCGAGATCCTGTAAAGACAATTTTAAAGGTAGCAAGTATATTATTTAAAAGAATTATATTTATTTTCTCTAATAAAAATTAAAAGAATAAAATGTATGAGTTTTAATATTTTTAGTTGAAAAACATCTTAAACCTGGATGATATTAAAAATATTTAATAAACAGCATGCCTTGAGTCTTCAGTATGGATTTGGAGCCTTCAGTATGGATTACGAGCTTTCAGTATGAATTACAACTCAATGTAAGAAGACCAAAATCTTCACAACTAGACCAATAAGTAACATCATGATCAATGGAGAAAAGGTTGAAGTTGTCAAAGATTTTGTCTTACTTGGATCCACAATCAATGCTCATGGAAGCAGTAGTCAAGAGATCAAAATCATGTTGCAGTAGGTAAATCTGCTGAAAAAGACCTCTTGAGAGCAATGAAAAACAAGGATGTTACTTTGAGGACTAAGGTGCACCTGAACCAAGCCATGGTATTATTCCATTATTTCATATGTGAAAGTTGGAGAATGAATTAAGAAGACCTACGAAAAGTGATGCATCTGAATTGGGGTGCAGAAGAAGACTATTAAAGTACCAAGAACTGCTAAAAGGATAAACCAATAGTCTTCGAAAAAGTACAGCCAGCACGCTCCTCAGAGGTAAGGCTAGCAGGACTTCATCTTACAGACTTTGGACATATTGTCAGGAGAGACCAGTCCCTAAAGGACATCATGCTTGGTAAAGTGGAGGGGCAGAGAAAAAGTGGAAGGCACTCAATGAGATGGATTGACACCATGGCTAGAAGAGTGGACTCGGGCATAGGAACGATCTTAAGAATTGAACAGGATCTTGCAGTATTTCATTCTGTTGTGCATGGGGTTGTTATGGGTCAGAGCTGATCGATGGTACCTAACAACATGGTTTGAGCACTCACTTATAAAAATGGACACCACGCACAAACATGGCTGCATAAGCACGTCAGCAATGCTTTTCATCGTTATTTTCCCACATTTATGATTTAAAATAAATTTAGAAGCATATATATACCCTCACCTTTCTTCTGATTTGGGGGAGGTCTTGCTTGTGATACTGTAAAAAAAACCCAACATACATATAATTATATATATCACAATTTTGAGTACTATAAAAATCATACTCTTTATGTTAAATTTACAAAGCAAATAAGGCCTATATATTGCCTGAATTTACATATGACTTAAAAAAATGTAATTTTCTCAAACGCTTTTTCTCTTCCACAAAAAATATTGAAATTCCTTAGCATCATTCAGTAGTCCAAAGTCACAAATGGATATACTATATATAGTCCTAAGTATTGAGTCTCTATGTTCACAATTATTAAGGTCTAAGCAAAGGAAAGAACTCAAAAATAACTAAAATAATAAATATAAAAAAGCAAGGAGTAAATAAAACAAGTCTGTATAGCACAGAAGTTGCTAAACTACCTTGGGAAATAAAGAAAACGACCGGAAATGAAGATAAAAAAATATTTGTTTCCCCCACCCCAACTCTGTCATTTTACATTTTTTCGTCTGTTTATAATAGAAAAGAACATTACGGACTATGTGAGACAGGTATACATAAAGTTCTATAGCATTATCTGGACTTGGTCACATTAATAGTAATTTTTATTTTCTAATTATGTTTATATAAAATAGTCTCTATAATGGATTGGGATATTTGTTGACATTTAATAAATACTATTTATAACAAACAGCCCACTTAAAAATGAACACATTTAGGATAAACAGCGCTGCATAGTTAGTTTTCAGTATTTATAAAGGCAATGAAAGTTTACTGGTTGTCTTCTATGTAGCATATGCTGGCTACATATACGTGTGTGCGCACACGCGCGTACGTGATAGGAGATTTAAAAGACATACTTCAACACCAGTTGTTACAACACTACCATTAAAAGAAGTTACACAGCATATATACTTTTAAAATATACTTGATTGTAAAGGCAGCAAAATACTCCATTGAAACTAATATTCTGTATTCTTTTGTGTGGGTATTTTGTTGTGATAAAGTATTATACAGCTCAGTAATATGATTCCTCCAGCCAGCTAAAGAAAGAAGAGATACCCAAACACACACTGACATGCTATTTACTACCATCTCCAACCTTCTTGCAGAAAAATACTTAATTTTTCTTAAACCATTTTCAGGAATAGGGCAAGAGATTAAAGGTTACATCTGACTAGATAATTTGAGTTGGCATTTAATATGTTCTTAGCATTTGTTGGAGGGTTAAAGGGATGAAAAAGGGGGAAGGGGAGCAGACAAAAAGTAAAATGTACTTTTAGTGAGAATGATTAAAAGAAACACCAAAAGGCGCATTTGAATGACTATAGATTGAAGACAGGTCCCACAAATGTATTTTATTTTATTGACACTATCAGTAGAATTACCTTAAGGCCCAGGGAGATGATGGATAATGTTCTCTAACATAAAATGGCAATAATGGTTCTAACGTGAACCACATTCATGTATATATATAAATGGATTGTGGACTCATACTTAATTCTTGCCCCCAATTTATGAACAATTAGTTCTTATGACAAGATCTTGCTTGATAAAGAGATTACTGAAAATATCTATGCTATAACAAAGTGTGGACAAGAACCTAGCTGGTGCACCACTATTAGAAAGAACAGCATCTGGGGTCTTACAAAGTAGTCTTCAAACACGCGGCCAAATATTTAAGTAAGGTGTCAACTAACTCACAAGGAAGAAGCACACTAGCCTGTGTGAGCAAAAGATTGTAAACATAACCCAAATCTGAAAGAGGGAATAGTATCAGAGAATAAATTGTGAACACCTGGCTTGCAGAAAGCTATGGATGACGATGGAATCCAAAAACCCATTTGCAGGGTCCATAGATGAGATTAAGTCTCTGGTGAATTCCCTCTGACCATAGTCCAGGGATTTGAATAGCCTTGCTGTGGTAGTTACATAATTAGAGTTTAGCCTGTCAATCGGGATCGGGTCACAACTTGAAGACCTCCCTTGGAGGTACAATCGAGATATATAACCCTCTGGAGGTCAACCACTCTCTTTCTCTTTAACTTCCTGCTTGCTGACTAGGAGAGCTGCCAGAGCCCTGCCATGTTTACCACCAACTTTGGATCCACCACAGGTGACATTCCTGCATTTGGCATCATTGTATGCGATTGTGTGAGTCTGAAGAGTGACTTATAAACTAGTATCAGACTTATGGACTTGAGTTGGACTGGGCTAGGATCCTTTCTTGACAGATTACTTCTTGACATAAAAGCACTTCCTTACACATGTATGAGTGTCATCAGATTTGTTTCTCTAGTCAATCTGGCCTAACACACTTGCTATTCAGTAGAGTGTATTGGAAAGTGGATTTTGCAGGTGCAGTTAGGATAAAAATTAACATTTATCACTTGATCTCATTTTTACCTATTTTAAATCTGCTCTACTTTATATTTCTTGCTTTATCACTGAAGATCTTCTGTTTAGCTTTGTTTTTGTTTTGTATGTTTTTCTGTACATGAAATGCAGGATGGGTAAAGACAGAGATACTAAAGGGGTTAATGGTTTCTTGTGGTAAAGGAGCCTAGTGACGCAGTGGTTACAAGTTGGGCTGTTATCAATAAGGTCAGCAGTTTGAAACCACCAGTGGTTCTGTGGGGGAAAGAAAGTGTTTTGGTCTTGAAAACCCACAGGGGCAGTTCCACCCTGTGCTATAGGATTGCTATGAGTCAGCATTGACTCCATGGCAGTGAGTTGGGGTTTGGTTTGAAGGTAGGGGGTATGGCGAGGGAGGCTGGAGGAAAATGGGGAGCAAATAAAATGAGTAAAACAAGGAAGAAATGTCCTAAAATTGTAGTGATAACTGTACAACTCTCTGTAATATGGTTGAACCACTGAATTTTATGGTATGTAAATATGCCAATAAAACTGGATAACTGGTTTTTAAAATTGGGGCAAGAAAATAAGGCATATAAAACACATATTAAAGTTTACAGAGATTTATTAAAAAATAACCAAAACAGACTATAACCAGGTTCCTTGTGAGTGAAAGAAGGCCTGCTACAGCAGTGGGTAAACACTCCACTGCTAACCAAAAGTTCAGTTGTTCAAACCTGCCAACCAGATGTCAAATGCTGTGACCATCCAACGCGACAACTATTTACAGCTTTGAAAATCCTTTGCATCCATTCTACTCTGTCCTATAGGGTCACTGGAAGAAAGAATCAACTCAAAAATCTATGGGTTTTGTTTGCTTTGGTTTGAGTTAAACGAAGGCCAAGATGAGACCACTGTTTAAGAAGAATGTGTTAATAAACTTGATTTAACACACACAGAGTGGGGGTAATAACTTTTGTGTGAAACAGAGTAATTAAAAATAAGAGTGAATATTCAAATCTAATCTATATCTATTTTACCATTTGAGATGATAGTATCTGTTCCTATAAATATTCATAGTCTCAAACTCTGTACTATATGGTCACTATGAGTAAGAATCAACGACGTGAAAATGGGTCAGTTTGGTCCTATTACCCTGGCAAGTTGATTAACCAGTCAATCCCAGTTTCCTGGGCTGTAAAAAGAGAAGTAAGTTTCTACACCTTGATATTGCTGTGTTTAAAAAAAAACAAAAACAGATGCATACTAGCCCAGTGACCCCTGCAGCTACCATCAGAGCTTCTGTTTCTACTACCACCATCACTACTTATGTAAATGATTTGTTTCCAATATACACGGTAGGAATACATTAGAAGAAAATGGATCAGGTTATATAGGACTTCAAATTATATTTTCCATTCAAAATACATAGAGTCTAGGTGCATAGGATCCCACTACTTGTAAATACAAATAAAACAAATAATTCTTGTTTTCAGATAGCTTTCATACAAAACAAAAGACTGCAAGCAAATTAGTAAATAAATGAAGCTATTTGAATGTATAATATTATAATGCGCTGAGAAGAGTATTCTTTAGATAAGATTCTAGGAAATGCCTCTCAAAAGGAGAATTTAAGCTGAGATCTGAAGGATGAAAAGGCTCCAAGTCCCAAAGAGTACGTGGACAGAGTGCTGATAGTGGGGGAATGCAGGCAAATGTCAATTTAGGAAAGAACCTCCTTGTACTTATGGAATTGACACGAAGCAAATGTTTGAGCAGGGTGAAGAAAGGGAAGAGGAGCAGTAGATGAGAGTAAAAACATAAACGGGAAACAATTCTCATGGGGCCTTTGAACAATGATCAGTTTGTTGAATGCCAGTAATAAGCTTTGAAATGTTCACAACAGAAAATGCCAGGATTTAATTTTCACATCATACTGAACAATGTATAAAGAAAAGAGGGAAAGGGGGGTTACCCAGAATGAATACAGTGTTGATCCCTACAAAAAACTTAAGATACAAGAAAGGGGGTGGGATTTAAAAAATAACTTTAGTACTATGTTTGCAAAAGATTTATTTTAAAGCATGATTACAGGCTATGATGGGTTCACTAACTGATACCTGAAGTTATGATGCTGTGTGCTTCTGTAGGAAAATAATCACATACAGAAGTAGTAACAGAGCTGGAACGGGGAATAGGTAAAGAGATACATATTCAAGCCTCTAAAATATTTCTCTGAAATAAAGCCAACTTCTTAAATAAGTTCTTTAGCTTTTCAACTATATCAATATCCAAGAAAATGGTATTACTTTATAAGTCATTGGTCAAAAGCACGATGTTATATAATCTACTTTACCAATGACTTTTGAATCCAATTTGGGAAAGTATTATTTAAGAATAAGGTACTATTGAAGTCTAGTTAAACTATTTAAATACACAATGAAAATATAAATTCAACATTTTTACTTCAACTGCTTATGTTTTTCTGATACAATTCTAAGGATTGATAATGTTAACTGAGGTGCAGTGAGCATTTTATATATACATTATCACAATTCTGAAATCAGTCTTATAACACAGTCAATTTTAAGAAAACTAAACTTTTCATGCATTTTAATTAAAATTTTACTTTCTTCAAGCATTAAGCATACCAAAAAATTCACTGCAGGGCTCATTTGCAAAATACATCCAATGCTGTATCTTTTTACCTGGTCTCGGTACTGGTTGTGCTGCAGGAGTCTGTGTCTTGCGAGCAGAAGCACCCTCCTTTAAAAGAACAAAAATTGACAACATCAAAGTGTTTTACACATAATTAAACAGTTCGATTACCGTGGAAAAAATGTATCACTTTGTCTCTCATTCAGTCACTCCGTGGACTGTGTAATGGCATTAAACTTTGAAAATTAAAACTTGTCTTTTATGCTCTTAGTCATGAAGTAATATTGAAATCATTATATTGAAGTTGTTACCACAGAGTAGTTACTAGAAGCATGTACCAATTTTCAAGTATTTAACTATCTACTTAATTGTTCACAATTCCAATATTTTACTTTTCTTAATATCACATCAGCATTTTTCCTGTAAGCAGTTTCAAAATGAGTGAATGAAACAAACTCATGTTAGAAAAGCATAAACAATTTTACTTTGAAGTACATAAAAAAGAAAATAAAACATTTCAAATAATGAAATGTTTTTAAAATATTCAGGAAAAATATTGTTTATAAAAATGAGGTTTGTTAAATGTGATGTAAGGCAAATGGGAATATTATATAAAGTAACCTTAATTTTTGAGCATGTAATATGTACAAGAACATTTAATAAGTGCTAAATTACAACTCATGAGTAAACGTGTCTGACGTGATTTATTTAAAAAGCAATCTGTCTTTAGTGCAACAGTGTCACTACTATTCACATTAACCTTTCTTTTTTTTTTTTTTTAAACATTTTATTAGGGGCTCATACAACTGTTATCCCAATCCATACACACATCAATTGTATAAAGCGCATTTGTACATCGTTTCTTAAAACATTTTCTCTCCATTTAAACCCCCGACATTAGGTCCTCATTTTTCCCCTCCCTCCCCGCTCCCCCCTCCCTCATGAGCCCTTGATAGTTTATAAATGGGTATTTTGTCATATCTTGCCCTCTCCGACGTCTCCCTTCATCCACTTTTCGGTTGTCTGTCCCCCAGGGAGGAGGTCACACACAGTTCCATGTAATCGGTTCCCTCTTTCCTACCCATTCTCCCTTTACCCTCCCTGTTTTGCCACTCACACCACTGGTCCTATAGGGCTCATCCGTCCTGGATTCCCTATATTTTCAGTTCCTATCTGTACCAGTGTACCTCCTCTGGTCTAGCCAGACTTGCAAGATCGAATTCGAGTTATGGTAGTGGGAGCGGGGAGGAAACATTTAGGAACTAGAGGAAAGTTGTATTTCTCATCGTTGTTACATCGCACCCTGACTGGCTCATCTCCTCCCCGAGACCCCTCTGCAAGGGGATCTCCAGTGGCCTACTAATGGGCTTTGGATCTCCACTCCGCACTCCCCCCATCATTCACTATGGTAATCACATTAACCTTTCATAAAATATTTTCTTTATAGAATGATGCAAATATAAGCTTCTTCTTTATATTGAGTTCAAGAAATTCGCCACCGCCCACCCCAATTTTATTGGGAGCTCTTACAGATATCCTAACAATCCATAGTTCAATTAGATCAAGCATAATTGTACAATTGCTGCCATGAACATTTTCTTTCATCATATATATATACACACACATATATATATATATCCATCTACATATTTTTACACCTTCCAATGTATCCATTCACCTACAATTCTGTTATTTCTTCCCTTTGAGCTGGGTTTATAAAGCCATCATTGCTATCGATCCCTCTTTCCTCCTACTTCCTTTCCCGTACCCTCAGGGAATTCATTACTCCCATTTCTATTTCTGAAGGGTTTATCTATCTTGGATTTCATGCATTGAATGACCTTAACTATACAAATGAACTTACACAGGTCTCAAAAGAGGTAAAACTAAGACCATAATAGTAAGGGGAGGAAATATTAAAGAACTAGAGGATAGTTATGTGTTTCATCAATGCTCTATTACATCCTGGATATATATAATCCCTCCTGTGTGGCCTCTCTGGGAAGGACTGCCCAATTGCCTTACTGGTGGGCTTTGGGTCTCCACTCTGTCTACATTTCTTCACGTCAATTAGATTGCTTATTTTTGAATTTCTGATACCTATTACCATCAAGGCCTCATGATCACACCGCCTGGTGAGCTTCTTCCAGGTGGGCTTTGTTGTTTCCCTGCTGGATGGCCGCTTGTTCAACTACAAGCCTTTAAGACCCCCAAATGCAAAATCTTATAATAACCAGGCACCATCAGTGTTCTTCACATTTGCTTACGCATCCATTTTGTCTTTGGCAATTGTGTCAGGAAGGTTGGTATTATACATTGTCACATTACTATAACAAACCATTCTTGTACTGAGGTAAGATATAAGTAGAGGCCCAAAGTCTATCTGCCTCCTTGTTGTATTTACATATATGCACATGTATAAACAAATACACCTATAATTATATAATTATAAATTTACACATTTATATATCTATATTTACACCTATAATTTTTACCTTATTCTTTCCCCTTTTTCTTTTCTCCTGCCCCACTATGATGTTTACCTTTCAATAATATATTTCAATTGATCAAACACAATCAGAAACACTACACCCACCTCACAGTCCATTTTAGATCCCATTGTTATTCCCTTTCCTGACGTTATTTGCCCATTAACCCCGACCCGCCATCTCCTCCTCTCCCATGCCCCCACCCAAAACCGTCTGTCCCACTGCTGTCTCCTTGGGATTGCTTAGCCTGCCTATTTTACATAAGTAAGAAACTAAGGGGGGGGGGGGAGAGAGACCATAAAAATAGTTCCAAGTTTGTTGTCCTGACCCAGAGTAGATGAATAAAATAATGAACAGGCCCAGTTATAATCCACTACTCCAATCCCCTTTTCTTTCAGGGGAGATTTCATTCTAACAAGAAGGGAATCTAACAAATATCAGAAGAATTTCACATATTCATAATAATGAAAATTTGTACTAGGATCACAAATTTTCCAAAGCAGTACTTCTAAATAATGTTTATTTGTCATACTACATTCTCTTCAAAATTTGAATTTTTACATGGTAGTATAACCCACATCTTACTCATTTTTAAATAAATGACTGTAATAATTGGTTCAAAGAAAAATGTTTTACACTTTCAATACAGTGATATTCCCTGTAGTTCAGTAGAATTCCAGGGGGGAAAAAACATTTTTATTGGAACAAATAATAGTAGCAACAACTAACAAAATCTCTTTGAAATTAAAAAAAATTATGATAAAGTAGCAGATTATCTTTATCTATTTTTGCTAGTGTGCTTGGTAATCTATTGGTACATTTAAAATCTTAGTCACTCTGAGTGAGTTTCATAAATGTGTTTGTTCTGTTTGTAATAATTTTCCAAGTATATGATTTAGTGATCTTTCTCCAAGTAATACTAAATTTAAATAAAAGTTCAAATTTAAAAGGTGAGTTACTATCTAGATGGACAACATATTATACATTCAATACCATTATGCTATATTACATTTTCTGATTATACTTGTCTCTAAATGCACATCAGATGCTCACCTTCCCGACACAACCGCTGAAGACAAAGTGGGTGAATAAGCAAATGTGGTGAAGAAAGCTGATGGTGCCCGGCTATCAA